GAGAACCCCAAGGACTCCACAGTTCAACCCTGAGCTACACATATTCGCCTCTATTGGTATCCGGACTATACAAATTATACAAAAGGCTGAACCATAAGATGTGCTATTTTTCTTGCCAGCTTTTCAAAAGTCACGAAACCCATTTGGCAAGCGAAACTCGCTCCAACAATTGCCACTGATTTTAAAGGGGCTACAACCATGAAAGATGAACAGCCCTAAACGGCTGCAAAATGCAGCGACGATACACGCGCAAACAGCGGGACTGACGGCCGCTTTACGTGGCAAAGCTTTGAACATCCCACTCAGTCCCGGTCCGCTAACGTTCCAAGCCCCGTAAGCCGGCAGATCAGAAGGAGGTAGTCACGTGGCCTGGGGAAACCGCGCCTTTCCCTTCTTTACAGCTGATTGGCTCCGAGAGCCGCCACTTCCTCCTTCTCCTCGCCAATTTAGCGGCTTTATTGCATCAGACCCAACAACGCGAGGGCGGGGCTTGGTAAGTCTCCCACGTGCGGCGCCGGCCGGCCAGTTTCTAGTTATGAAAGAGCGAGCGGCGGGACTTGCCAGGCGGCGCCCGCTTCTCTCTCCCCGGGGCGGCTGCCTACCTCGTCGCGGAGCCTTGAGCGCCTCCGCCGCCTTGCTGCTTCTCGCAGTAGCCCCGCGTGCTGTGCATCCCTCGCTGGGGCAAGAGCGCCGTGGGGCCAGTGGCTGCCACAGGGCGCAGCCGTTTGCGAGGGGAGCCGCCGCCGCTGCCGCCGCCGCTCTTCTTCGCAGGCCCCGCGGCGGCCGGCCCCGCTGGTCTCCAGAGCAGGCGGCGCAAGGCGGAGAACCTCATCCTGAGGGGAGAAGACGGCCGACGAGTGGCTTGTGCTTCCCGGCGGGGAGGAGTGGTTGGGCTCTGGGGAAGGACGTGCTGCGGCTGGGAGGGAGGCGGAGTAGGGTGCTGGCCGGACAGCGCTGGGTTGGCTCCGGCGGCAGGAGGCAAGGCGGAGCCGAGCTCGTTGGGGGGAGTCTGTTGCACTTCCTTTCCGTCTTGGTGCGAGGAGTGAGGCCTCGCAGGTCACCGGTAGCGTTGGAAAGGCTGCAAACGAGATCTGGGTTGGACGCCCGCAGTCCTGTGTGTGAGACTGACCCGTGCATTTTTCGATAGTGAGCAGAGGGTTTGTCTTTTCGGAAAAAGTAATGTATTCGTGGAGAATGTCTCAGCTTTCAAGTCCTGTACTACGCAGATTTGGAGGCAAATCCTGAGTCTTAATACACAATTCGATAATACCTTGATTAAAAAGTAAAGTCTTCGTGTTGAACGCGACTCCTGGTGTCGCCGTGGCCATGTTAGTAATTGAAAGGGAAATTCCACTACTACCAACGTGGTACAATAGATTGGGAGGTCAGAAAACAGACCTGGAGAAGGTTACAGCAACTTATTTTTTTTGTTAAGAGGTGGATATGACCATGAAGTTACCATCTCAACTCTGAGTGTTACCTCTTTTTGTATCTGCCCCAAAGGAAAATAACCTGAATACGGGGTTGCTAGACAGACGTTCCAGTCTATTATGTACTATGTTGGCAAATTTAAGCCGATCCTTCAGTTTTCAAGAAGAGAGAAGGGAAGAAATGTTCCTTTTTAGGTAATAGCTTCTGACGGGGCTTAAGAAATCATGTCTTATATTTGAATGTGGACTGACTTCTGATAGCAGATTTCTTCCTAGATAAATTGTCTACAAATTACTGTACCATTTTAAAGCTTCCAAAATAAGTCAGAATATTTGAGGTAGCATAGATCTGGAACACTGTGGAAAATTACAATAGTTGGTAGCCAGGAACAGGCTATGATTGCTGTTGGCACCAGCAGCCAAACAAAACAAAAACTGCAAAATATGTTTTTCACAATATGTTAAAGGATTTGGCAGCTGTCCTTTGTTTTGGATTTTGCTGTGTTATTGCTGTATAAATTTGCCAGTAAACTTTGGCAGTTGGCCAAAGATGCTGTAAGTGGATTTACTTTGTAGACAATTACTCCTGGCCTGCTCGTTTAATTTTTCTTAATTAGGTTCCACTCCTGGTAGTCTAGACAGGCTTTTTCCAAATAAGTTGTAGTGATTTGAGTATTTCTTATGGGTGCAGGAAAAGTTATTTTGTGTGAAAACAGTGTTAGTACTCATCTTGCCTGGCCCCTTCTCCACTTTGACTACTCTTGGGTGCAGAAATCCCACATTCTTGCTGTGGCTTGAATGCATTTGATTCTGCATTCAAGCTGTAGTGATGCCTTCTGTAGTCTGTTGCATGGACAGAGAAAGAGAATACAGGTAGTCCTCACTTAACAACTGTTCATTTAGCGATAGTTTGAGGTTATGACGATGCTAAAATGAATTACAACTGGTGCCTGAAGTTATGACTGTTGCAGTGGTCACGTGATTGCAATCTGGGTGCTTGGCAACCAGGCCTAACTTATGATGGCTGTAGTGTCCCAGGGTCATTTGATTGCCATTTGCAATCTTCCCAGCTGGCTTCCAGCAAGCATAATCACTGAGATTCACTTAGTGACCGCTGCAGATAGATTGTAAAATTGGGTCTGGTCATGTGATATTTCACTTAACCACATCACTTAGCGAGCTAAATTACAGTCCCAACTATGGTCATTAAGTGAGGACTACTGCAGAACTAGGTTGCTGAAGGTTGTCATAGTGAAGCTTTAAAGGATGTTGGAACATACTAAATTTCTTTGAAATATGGAGCTTCTGCCACTTTTTGTACTATTTCTGCAGCATCTTAAAGAGGGCAACAAACTCAGCAATTAATCATTAAGTGCTAAAGTGTTTGGTATGACAAGATATTACAGTAGTTCATTAAAAAGTCTGTATCCAAGTAACTACTGCAAGCAACTAGTATTTATTTTTTTCTAAGCAGCGTTTATTTACAGGTTTGACATGCTTTAAACTCAGCTTTTAAGCATAACAAAGGGGGAAAAAAGCTGGACTTTTCTACATGTACATATGGTTTTACATAGTCTTTACAAAATAAGTTTTGTAAAAGTGCAACACAGAGGGTCTATTTCTTATCAATAGAATAAAATAGTAATGCATGATTTGTTGAAACTAGGAAAGTAGATGTGAATTCATCCAGAATAAGCAACTTCATTTTGCATCTGTCCAGTAGTATAGTGCAGGTACTACCAGTGAATGCAGAATAGAAATAATTTTTCTAAAAAAATTTAGGCTATTTTACAAACAATATTACCTGGTTAAAAATAAGGCTCCTTTAAAATTTCTTCAAAGTTGTGAAGGAGAGCGGTAACTTATTAAAGAGATATGCCCACCTTTAGAATGGGACAATAAAGAATGTACAGTACATGTGATAGCAAGCCACTTACATATTCCCTAGCCCCGGTATTCTAATTTTAGCAACCACTGTTGCTTTCCCCCATATTTTTGTTCTGCCCATGATAATTAATGAAGTAATGTGTTCAGAAGCACTCAGTGGCTTTGTAGGCCTATCTACTGTGAGTGATAGTAACCCAAAAGTTAACTCACATTTTGTTTATGAAAAGGCACCTACTTGATTCTGTTTAAACTCCAGAATTTTAAAAGAAAAATTATCCTTGGAGCGGGCTGAAAACCTGAATACATTTAGCCTTCTAGAACTGTAAATCTATATAAAATATCTTCCAAAAAACATGTGATCTGAATTTGTCAAGTAACCAAATGCATACCTAATATTCACACAAATGAACACTGGTTTCCTTTCTATTTTGGCTACATATTTTATAAAATAGTTTTTTCCAAAAAAAAATTAAATCGTTTCCTCTGTAATTTTGGGGTAGGGGAACGATGCTATCAACACAAAGTTATCTACAAATCAAGAACTAGATTAAGAAGTTGGAGGTGGGGTTCCTCGGTTTTTTTTCATCCAGACCAGAAAATCACCATTCCCTTTGCTTTTACAAAAACAGTGTCTTAGGCTCATCCATATTGAATTTCAGCTATTTTTATTCCCTGCCAGCAAGGTTAAAAAGTACTGAAAATATACTGAGGCTTGTTCCTTATGACTATATCTTACATATTTCACTATCAGATTAAGAAAAATCCTCTAGTATAACAAAGCAGGCATGACATTACTATATTCAGATTACTATTACTATATTTATATTATTTTACATGTTTTATTAAATAAAAATTTCCTAAATTCATATGAACTTAACTTTTCATCTGTTTACTAAACACACATTGATTGGCCGCCAGCTTTTCTACTGAATTTGGGGCAGCTTCCAGACGTAAGAAAAATAGAAGTGTTCCAGAACTTGTATTCCACTAAGAAAAAACACCAGAATGATGCATTTCAAAGTAATTCAGCAACCATAGCTCCTTCAGTATTTATTTCAGAAGAAGGGATTATACGCTTGTTAACTGAGGGCTTTTGCCACATCACAAAGTCACTGCTGACGTTCTAAAAATTCTGACTGTGGTTATGCTTTTTGGTGGAATGATGTAAGAAACCAAATCCTGCTCAGTAAAATGTATTTCACTTGGTACTTAGATTTCTTGATGTCCTTCATGTGAAACTTGGTTGTACAGATCGTGTATTCACATATTTTTGTTTTCAAGTATTTCAAACTGAAGCTATCTTAAAAGAGGGTATGTACAGCAACATTAGGGGGGGGGGGGGGAGCCAAACTATTCCAGCCTGAAGAAGCTATTTAGTTTGTAGGCTTAATTTTAAATTTGTCCCTAGACCCACGTGCATGCTTGGGGTCAAGACTAAAAAGGCCGTACATGCCCTGTGATTGGTTGCCCTAGACGGGGACCTACGCCCATTCAGACTCGTTCAGACTGATGCCAAAGTCAGTATGTAGACACTGCAGGTAGGTCCTGTGCTGCTGCTGATCTGTGGTACCAAATCTGTGAGCTGGGGACATGACTTCTTGGAGGCGGGATAGAAAGAATGTATTTAGCGCATTGAAATAAAAGGGTTTTCTAAGCTAGAATTCTAGAAAAATGTTCCTCCTTGATCCCAAATATCCATTTGGTCTGTACCATTTGCAGTTTTACTTAATTAAAACTATGTGGAAACATAACTAGTGCATACATATGACACATTAGTACATTTCAGTCCAGTCAAAGCACTTCACTCTTCAGTGTTGTAAATGGTCTTTAAGCAAGTAAATTATGAAGTACACAAAGTTTAACTCCTGAAGATGTTCCACTGCACTTTTTGATTCCCTTTCTATGAAATTCTGGTATATGTCACCAGTTCTCATATATACTAAGTTGCTAAGATTACAGTGTATGGAACAGAATGATACAAACAGATGCAAGGTATTGTTCCTATAGTGGTAGTTAGAAATATGTATACAGCAATATGACTTACAAGAATTGGTTGTCATACTGTAACTATCACATTAAGGCAGAACAACAGGGGTAGGGGAAGAAAACATCAAGCAAAACTACTTGAACTGAGACACTGAAATTTTTCCCTTAAGGATTGGACGATGTTCTGCTGACTACTAGATGGCACGTTCCATAGGTAATCGTTCAATTTGTCTGAATCACCATATGCTGTCAGGAAAGAATCTGATAATTTAGAAGAATCCAGCAACTTGCCACTGTGAGTTTCTGAAGGAGTAGAGTGCGTATTCACTTTGGAATCCAAGTCCTTTGTTTGGTTATAGAAAGTCTCTAAGTCAGATCCCTCATCCTCAGATTTAATTTCAACATAGTCATCATCATCTCCTTCCCCATTGTCAGTATCTTTAAAATTACTAAAATAATTGTGGGTTGCTATTTGTGCATTTGAGGGTAAGTTCCTGTTAACTCTTAGAATTTTCTGAGAGTCTTGTAGAATCATTTCTGAGACATTTTCTGAGATCTGCTTTGTCCCATCACAGGCTGGATGGTCAGGGGTGACCATGGACACTGATTCTTGACAGTGGTCAGTCAGAAACTTTCTGTTTGAATGCAAATGTTTCTTCCCCATTTCAGGTGGATAACTTATTGATTCTTCGGACTTATGGAGCACAATGGAGGAAGAAGATTGTGATCTGCTGTATGCCTGTGGCTTTGTACTGCTTTCTGTCCTCCCTAAAGAATTATAAAGGTGGCTGTGATACAAATTCTCTTTATTGGGCTGATTTATAATAGCACTCCACCTTTGTGCAGGAATGTGCGGACAAAGAGGTGTCTGAAAGGAAGGCACCGAGCACGTTGCAGGTCTCACATTTGGTGTTGTCCCCATCTCTGAAAGAGAGCTTTCTGTCTTCAGGCGAGGAGCTTCTGGCCAAGGAGAAAAATCAGAGAGTTCTCCATTACTGTATGTTGAGTGCAAAAGCCAATTTTCAGCTTTTAAGCATTCTGCAGCTAAGTGAGATGTGGACACAGGTGAGGAGTATCTTATGTTTGTTTCTTGAGAAGTAACCTTCTGTGTTTTGGGTGAGGTTTCCCGGAATACAATCTGATCATATAGCTGAGAGTATTCAGCAATTCTTGCACCTAAAAAGCAAAGAGAAGATTTACTAATCTTAACAAATAATGACAATACCACCAGTAAAAGTTAACATTTCCAGGTAAATAAGGGTATTTTCAGATAAACTTTTAGTTAAGCGCCACAGATTTTAACAGGTACTTTCTGCCAAACAAATATAGAAGAGCATCTGATCTTAGACACAGGTTCATTCTTTCCCATTTCCTATCCTTTCTCCTCCATCTTCTCAATATGGGATGTCCCTGGAGCAAACCAGGGCACATGAAGAAAGTGCAACCAGAAGCCCAACTGAAGTCCATGTGTATAACAGATGTATCCCCCCCCGTTTTTTTTTTTTTTTGGTGCCTTGAATCAATGTTGATTCCTGACGACTGCTTGGACTAGTCCCTGAAGTTTTCTTGCAAGGTTTTTTGGAAGTGATTTGGCACTGCCTTCTTCCTAGGGCTGAGAATGAGTGATTGGTTCCAAGGTCACCCAGCTGGCTTTGTGCCTAAGGTGGGACTAGAACTCGCAGTCTCCTGGTTTCTAGCCTGAAGCTTTAACCACTACACCAAACTGACACAATCTTAATTAGTGTGCTCACTACTGCCACACAATTTCTTCTATAATTTCATCTGCATTCTTACTCCTGCAACCACATCCCAATCTTGGGAGTTTCCTCACAGAAAGAGGCAACCTTTCTGCCCTATACTATGCCTCAGGAGACCTAAAGAAGGGAGGTTTTCTATCTCCTGGTGCTAAAATAAAGTCATCTTGTGGCATCTAGGAAGCACACCTCTTCTCTAGTGATCCCTGCCCTGTGGCACACCCTCCCCCTTGAGATCTGGCAGGCCTCCACTTTCCGAGGCTTCTGGAAGGACTTGAAGAGCTGGCTCTTCCCACGAGTGTTAGGTTAGGGAGTGGCTGGAGCCCAGTGACTCTAAATGTCAATGAAGGGAAGAGAATCTGTTTTGGGGCACAATGAGGTTTTGTGGGATTTTTATATGGTGGTGAATTTTTATATGTTTACTGCTGTTTTTTGTGAGCTGCCCAGGGTTGTTATACATAAGATGGGAGGCCATACAAGTCCAATAAATAAATAGTTTCCAAGCTGTTTCTATGCATTTGTCTTCAAAACATGGTTGTGCGCTCTTCATTTGCACAATGAAAAGCCAATACTCTTTTATGACAACATAAGTAGCTTTTAATTTGCCCTTTTAAGTTAACACTCCCGCCACCCAATATAAACCTCCCTCTCCATTTTCCACCATGAAATTTCCTGGAGAAGGCAATAAAATAAAGTATTATTGGTATATTTCTCACTTCAAGCAAATATGAGCAAAATATGGCATTCATGTCTATATTCTTGTTTTCTAACAGATCCTTTATTAATTAAATGAAGTTATATAATTAGAATCTATGGTAGGCAAGTTCTTAAATGCACTGAGCAACTTGCTTTTCTGATTTAAATGAAACATTCATGTGGCTTAATTTAAAAGCCACATAGTTAAACTAGTGCAATAAAATTAAAATCAGAGACAAATCTTACTCATAATGAAAGAAGCACTAGCATAAGTATATTAATTGGAATTTGTTCAGTTAGTTCAAAAAGTTATTGACCAATGGATGGGTAAAATATAGCCATATGTCACTGTGTTCAAGCATTCAACAGGTCAGTTTATAAAATGAGGAAAAATGTAAATGTACCAATGGCAGGTCCACCTTGTTTCTTCTCTTCTAAAATGGCTGCTAAATCCTTGTGCTTTGATTTCTGTTGCCGACTGAGAAGCTGTTCCTGCTCTGGACTTTTTACTTTCAAAAACTGATTTGCTCTCTTAATTTTTTGGCTGTATTGTCTTGCCATCATAAAAACCCGATTCTTTGTTTTATCCACAGTATCCAGTTCACCATTAGTATTTATTGCATTTACAGAGCAGAGAATATTATTGGTAGATTCATGAAGGCTATCAGCAAAACTTCTGTCATTTGAGAGAGTAGATCTGTTGAGATCTATTAGTGAATTTGCTTTACATGATGTTGCCTCTTCAACTTTAAGGTTGGCTTCACTTAACCTCGCTACCTTGTTTGGCAAAGTTTTTGAGAAAGCAGGTGTTTCCGGCAGAGAGAGCAGAGACAATGAATATTCTACATCTTTATTTGGTTCACCAATAGTTCTACTAGATGCTTGATTATCAGCCTCATCTTTGCAAACAGGAAAAGCTGCAAGGACATGATCTCGTGCCTTTTCTTCATTCTTCTTGATATAATTCTCCAGATCATTCCAGATTTCATCTACTTCCTCTGATAATTTATCTGCAACAGACTTGTGAGAATGTGAATCAGAGTTGGAGGAGCTGTCCACCAAACTTAAGTAGCCATGATCTAATGGAACATAATGATAGGAATTTTCATCTTCACTGAACTGGAGGCTTTCTTCAGAAACAAATTGTCGGAGCTGGTTACAGCATGCAAAGTCTGTTTCCACACCCAGAAAACTCCTCTTTTTGGAACACTTGAGGTGATCACATTTGAAATTTGGCACTGATTCTTCTGGGAGACCTATGGTATCATAGATATTTTCCTCACTAATCCTTAACTCACGAGTTCTTATGGATGAAGTGTCTCTCCTGGGAATTGTTTCATTTCTGCTAGGAATAGAAGTCCTGTTTTGAGATGCTTGAGTTTTTTTGAAAGAATGGTCTTGGTCATGTGCCTCATAGAGTGAATCTCTAGCTGACCCTTGTGGGGCACGGTTGGACTCTTCCCTCTGAACCAGTCCCATTAATTTCAAATCTTCAAAACTTATATTGTCATAGACATGATCTATGTCATCTATAGTGAATTCTTCTGAAGATTCTTGACATTCTTGCAGATTGTCCATGTCACTTCTACAGTTTTTCGCTTCATTCCAAGAGGCACTTAGATCATAGTTATTCTTCCTGTATCTTGCTCCAGCTGGAGAAGTTTTACTTTCACCAGCACTGCTTGCCCGCCTCATAATTCTATGAGAGTTCAGGTTGGAAATGTCGTTTTGATGAACTAGCCCTACATGCCAGCTGCAAGGACGGTTTGATGGGACCCTTTCTTCACATGCAATAGAAGTTAAGTTGGATGTAGAGTCTGATGGCATGAACATCTGGTAATCGTCATCATCATCATCTTCTATATTGTCTTGCAGAGGGCGTCTACTTGGGAACAATGCTTGCCGAATCTGATGATCTGTCCAGATATTTCTCACTGTAGCTGTTCTCCCCAAAATATTTGCCACAAATGAGCTGTTTTGTGGAGCAAATTGTTCAGATAGCTGACTACCTCCACTGCAGGAAAATGAAAGCTTTGTGTTCATCTGGGAAGATGCTTCATCTGTACATTCTTGGGAGTTCTGTGAAGTTTTCAAAGATAGAATATTATTAGCCTGCATTCTAATAACATAAATGCTAATCATGAACTTAGTTTTCAAACTCCTGATTCTTGTGTAGTCAAAATGACATTGTCAGTGCACAAGGAGGCGGCACTGGTAGTTCTGCTGCATTCTAAGGTTTACAGAGTTATACTCTTGTTATTTCATTAATTCTCTTATGAAAACCAGGACTAAATGTCTGTACACATACAATGGTATTTTGCTATGAGCATCTTGTGCATTTCAAGCACAAAAATCTGGAAGGGTAATGAGATGTCCACGAAGTTGGAGGAGAATCCTATTGTGCTACTTCATCCTGGATCATATTTTGAGGTAAGGCTGTTTTAATAATGATTGAGTAGAATGTAATGATTATCAAGATTTCTTCCCTCCACAGAGATAGTTACAGAGAAAGGGATATTACATAATATAGCTAATGGGAGAAGTGGACAGTATTAAGTGATTCTATGTAACGCTTTTCTTTTTTGTTTATTGTGTTAGAGCCTTTGATTTTTCCCCTTTTTTACTTCATTCACATCTGTCAATACATGAAAAAAAATTTTTTTTCATGATGTTTCTAAGGAAATGATTAGAATCTGAATGGTTTCATGGACATGTCCATGTAGATTTCTTAATACCATTACAGACATGGCTTATTAGCCTCTTTCTGGGACATTATTTCAATTTCCTATTCTAGGCTATATCTCGGATGGAGTTTACCAGGGAATATCCAAGTATTAAACAGTTAATCCAATCAAATTTAGTTGTTTTAGCTCCACCGTAGTTTGGTAAGGTGCTGCCATGATGATTTCAGAACTTTTTCAATTACCTGAATTTCACATATGTTGAGATTGAAACTTCTTCGTTTCTCAAAATTTTCAGTAACTTGACTATTCAGTCTTTTGCGGCCTCCCTTTGGTTTTTCCTGTAAATGTTGAGTGCTCTGTGGAAATGGGTGAATATTAAACTACAGTCTAATTTCAGCCACAGCAAAGTCTAACAATTTTCAGAGTTCAGCAAGTAGACACTATATTACAAATGATACTATAAAAGATTCTTTTTGTTAGGGTTCTTCTATCTACACTGACAGAAGTTCAGGATGGCCTCTTGGATTAAATTCAAACAAGATTTCTCTGGGACTATTGTTCTCATTATGTTAAAATGTTGGTAACATTTTAAATACATTCCAATAGTGAAATGCAAGAATATTAATAGGATGAAGGGGGGGGGGGTCAACAAAGAGAGGAAAACACATCTTCCACTTTTCTTTCTGCATCTCTCTCTTTCTTTCATATCTGATGTTTCTCAGTCTTTTTCCCTGATTCAGTCTTCCCTTTTTGTATTCTTTTATTCTCTTGTTGTGTTCACTCTCTCAGCACATTATCAAGTTGCTTTCTGTTAGCTCAATATAACTATTGAGGAATGGAAGGAAATCCTTTCCAGATAATTCCTCCCTCTCTTGCCAAGCTCCATGAATTAGATTTTGGCAGAGGACAGAATACAACGATGGTTGAAGACCCTCAGAAGTTCCTATTGTATTACTGCAATGGCTAGGATACAGAAGTTAAGAAATAAATTATTTAAAAGAAGTGAAAATGTTAACCACCTCTGGTAATTGACTTGGATTACTGATAGCTAAAGCAAGGGTATCTTATTGTTTATTCAGTTTTTATATGTGGTTAATGGAGCCATCCTACATATGATATTGAACATTAATGGATCAATGTGTATCTTTTCATTTCATGAAATAAGGAACTTACTTGCTCAGTCTCTTCTTCATCATCAGCATCAGTTTGATCTGTAACATCTGTGAGAATATTATCCTCCTGACCACTGCTATAGGCTGCTTCATTTGAATCTAGCCGTTGGCAATGCAGTGAATGATTCTTCCTGGGACTGAGGAACAATTCAGCTTGAGATAGCAGGGTTCCTTCCGTACTCATCCGCTAGGGGTAGGGAGAGAAAAATACAGATTAACTATTCCATTCATATTCTGTACTATACAATACACTTTTTATACAACCCAGCAGAGTTTCCAAAGCAGCTCACAACACTTTGCATCTTCATGTTACTTTGCTGTAAAAAGCCATGTTATTATTTTTTTAAAGCAGTTTTTCTTGTCTTATCTTTATTTTTCAAATGTTTTTAAAAGAATGACTTGATGATTCTGTCCACTGTGGTCCTTGGCCTGCACATCTTTCAAATCTGGCCCTCGATATACTGTTCAAGGACTGGGGCGGCCTTTGAAATTGTGCACTCCTGCTTTAAAAGTATGTCCTGTATATTAGGGTTTGTTCTGCAGTATATTCACATGTACTCTGTTTTTATCATTTCTCATATGCTCTCATACACAGCTTTTATTTCAATATGGAAGATTCATATCATAACCCCTCTTGGCCATTGTACTGTTCCCTTTCCCTCGCTATTGCCAATCTGTTTTAGTTACATTAAGGTGGTTAAGTTTCATAAATCCTTCACACCATATTCCCTCTCCTCTTTTTCTTTTCTGCTGACTCAAATCAAATTATTCAGAGTAACTATGAATGTAACTGGCTCTATTATTTTTTTTAAACTATTAACCTGCATGTGATTTTGAATGAGTATGTACATAAGGTATGTGTACATGAAATATAAATATGCACCAACACATATCTGAGTGCAATTTTGGAGAGAAAGAGAGCAGAATAAAATATTTAAGGCCTAGTATGTCACATGAAATGAATCAGAGTTTAGAAGCAGCTAGAAAGTATATAATAGAACCTTTTAGATAGCAGTTTTAATGGCCTCTTCCCATTGTTCTCTCTTAGAGTCTCAGAAGTAGGTCTTTGATGACATAAGAATGGAACATTTCAAAGGGTACTAAGGAGGGCAGATCTGAAGACTAACAGGTATGATCAGTGGCACACACACTGCTGTTTTTGTATAATCCCCTTCATTTTAATATGTGGCTATTTGCTCCTGTTCCTGGTCTCCTCCCTGTTTTTGTAACATAATTAAAATGTGTACTGCTGTTTGTTGCTTCCAGATGTACTTCAAAGCAGAAGAAAAGGGTAAGGCCACCAGAAAGGAATCTTTAATGGAAAAAGGTACATACACACACACACCCCTTCTAAAATAATTGGTAATATTCAAGATCTGTTTTTTTTAAAAAGCATTGCTAGTTCCTTGAAGAAACAATATAGTTTACCTTTTGCAAATCTGGGTCCATTTCTGAAATGATTGAAAAAACACAATCGTAAGTATCATATGATGACCTGCATTTGTACTAACATTTAGTATACAGGTAGTCCCCAGTTTAAGAACGAGTTCTGTTCCCAAGGTCTGTCTTTAAGTCAAATTTGTATGTAATCCAGAACAGTATTATTGTATCATGCTGTATAAGTAGTATTGTGTAATTAATTCAAATCATTGTGTATTTAACTCGAATTTTGCTACAATAGGCTCTGTTAATTAATTCAAATCATTGTGTATTTAACTCGAATTTTGCTACAATAGGCTCTGTTAATTAATTCAAATCATTGTGTATTTAACTCGAATTTTGCTACAATAGGCTCTGTTCTTAACTATGGGTTGTCCGTAAACTGGGCATTCTTAACCCAGGGACTACCTGTACCATTTTACATGGGGAGAATCAAAAGAAATTTAAGAGTACTTAAATTTATGTCTCGGTGTAGGATAGGAAAGTTATTTTAGAAAACATTTCCTCTCTGTGGAAAAACTACCCTGCCTTTCAGTTAATTGGATAGAATGTCTTCACTGCAGAAAAGAGTGCTTCAGAAACCACTAATAGGTAGTGGAATAATGGTTTTAATACACAATAGAATTAAAAGTGTTAAGGTAAAAGGTAAATAACAGAAAGTGAGCAGTGAGAAGTCTTCCTCTTAATATGGCATGCACACATCTTGCTTGTTTCCATTCTTTGGGGGAGGGAATAATACAATTCAGGGCTATGCAGTGTGGAAGCACCAATGCAAAACTAGCCTGCAACTCTTTAAAGCAACCCCATCTTTTAAAACAGCAGTGTGATCCAGTTAAAACAACAACAGCAACAGAAGTTCAATTACAGCAAACACAGAGTGCAGTCTCATATGGCAGCCTGAAGCATTGTACATGATGCATTCAGTCCACGTGTATAAATCTACTGCAGATGGGTGACTCTGGTTCACTCACTTCTGGGAAGAATCAGTGAGTGGGTGTGTGACATCAATAGCATCGTTTTTGCCATTTAAAGCTTACTCCTAGCAGGATGCTATCACCATGTAATCAGCTGGAACTAAATGTAACTAAGTCAATTTAGAAACATATTCTGCTTAGCATTTTTATCCTAGACCCTCTGAGGTTTTTTGTAAAAAAAAATTATATAGTAAATTAACTCAGGAACTAGAACTCATTTGTAAAGTTGCTATTCTTAGTACTAAATTTATGACACATCTTTGCTGAGAGAGACATGATGTCACTTCCTCTATGCCATACATTTTGTACAGTTAATTACATGAATAATTACACTGAAATGTTGCCATGCTTAAATAAGCATTGTTAATAAAGTATATTTTGTAATTTGATATTGTGTAACTTACCACTTGGTTTTGTGATTTTATGAACTCTGGAAGAAGGTTCTGTGAAGAAAACACATGTATTTATTAATATTTTTATTTATTTAAATGTTTTAAAATAATATACATTCCACGTCTCTTATACCCAGCTACATTCAGTTTCTACCACTACCAAGCTGAAATTATTTAACAAAGTGAAGTGTGAATTTGTGAGAGAAACAAGCTGCTCAAAGAAATTATTTGCAGTGCAATCCCATGTGTGGCTATTCAGTAATAAACCCCACTGAGTGTAATGGCAAGCTACAGGTAAATTTGTGAAATGAAATTAAGTTGTCTTTTTACTATAATATAACCAGTATGTATATATGAATTCTTTAAAGTTTATTCTTACTGGGGCTCGCATTGCAGTTTTCGTATTATTTTTACTTCCAGGTTTAAATCTGTATTTCACTCACATATAATCTAATATTGCCACATAAAGCCATTTAATCTTAATTCTATTCCTCCAACCACATACATTGTAAATATAAGCATACCTGAAACAAATGTTATTACCTGATTTCCTTCTCACCCTTTGTGGGGTGATCCCTTCTTTTGAATTACTGGAAGCTTTCATTTCTTCTGGGCTATAATGGAACCCTGGGTGATCTATTAAAAAAAAATGATTCTCTGATTTTCAAAGTATTGTTTTATGTATTAGGTTCAGCCACTATTACATTTCCAAGAGATCCGTCACAGTGAAGTACAATCAGGAAGTAGAACTTATATTGGGATTTACATAGATACACACAGTTAAAGGCAGAGATCACATCAGAATAGGATTCATTTGTCCCCTTTGTATCTTCAAGAAAACCCTTTAATTTTCTCTCATAATAATGGCTCCTCCAGAGATGACCCAATCATTTAGGCAAATCTGACAACTCTTGGCAAAACAGGTGTCCTGCAGGCATTCGCAAGCAACCTAACAGATGATCGGCAGGTTATGATAAAAATGGAATGTACATAAAAACAAAAGTATCACAATACTCTTGATCATCTAACATGCTACTGGATGCATTCAAACAACATAAAGCCGGGATTTTTTAAAACCACTGTTTGGTGAACAAATCACAGTGAGCCTACTTGGTACATAAAGATGGGCAGTGACAAATTTGAAATATAAATAAATAAGCCCCAAACAAGCCATACCATGGCACAACTCTCTCTCCCCCCACCACACACACACCACATGGACTCCCAGTGGTATACAACAATATGGGCAACAGATCACTGACACATCACTCAACAAGCATACAAAATTATTATTTAAAAGGGGCTGCAGGTAAATTTAGTCCCACTCACATATACAGGAGAAAAAAATAAGCACATATATTTGGGGAAAGTATAGTTGTAATCTGTCCTTATCCCACAGGGAGCACAATGCCTCTGCACCATACTCCCCGCAAAGAAATTCCTGCACTATAAAAGCTTTCCATACATACATACATACAACATACACACACGCACAGACATATATACACACACACACCCCACCCAGAGCCTTGTATACAAGAGCAAGTTAAAAATAAAATATGTTAACAGGCTTTTGAAAAGGCTTTTCTAACTGAGTTCATATAAAATATCTTCACATAATAACACTGTTCTGCTTATACTGCAGATTAAGACTGAGGATGCTTGTGGGAGCTTTATTGTTCTACATGGGAAGCAAACCAACTTGATCTGCAGCCCTATACTACCGACAGGACTCTTACAAAAGTCACACTGTCTGGAAATAGAGTGGGCCAACTATTCTTTGTGAGTCTGCATAATAGCAACATTTTAAGGAAGGCATACATGAGCCTCACATGGCTATTCAGCAGATCTTAGTGCCCAGAAACTTAGTGACAGATAATATCAACTCTGTTGACTACTAAATATCTTCATCTCTCAATATTTATTTCCTGTTTTTAGAAACAGAAATGTAATTGAATTATTTAAATAAAGTACACTTACAAATTGCATCCATTTCAAGAATTGCTTGCTTGGCCTGAAAAAGAAATAGTAGATATTTAATTACTTATTTGATTTATATCCCAACTTTCTGCTCTGGCAGGCATTCAAGGCTGCTAACAAAATTTAAAAGATATAACTATATGCTAATGGATATTGAATTATTAATTATCATGGGAAAAGGATTGTGGAAATCCAGATTTAAATCCCCACTCAATTATGGAACTCATAAAGTAATTTTGGATCTTTTAGACTACCCTACCACCCTGCACTGTGGTCTAGGAGGAAAAGCAGAATATAAACATCATATACATTTCTGACACTGTGTTAAACCATCGATTAACCCTGGCAAATGTATATGCCCCAACAAAGTGTTCGACAAACTAATATGTATGTAGTGATACTGTTAAGACACTAATGATGCAACCCCTCCAGTCAGGCTTATTTATGATTTTTAGTAGAAGTATTGATTAAGAATGATCTAAATAGATTTTACTGTGAAGAATCAGTAGGTGAAAAGAAGTACGAAGCATTTTCTCTATTATCCAATGATTTTTCTGCAACTGCTTCTTCATGCATGAATATGTATATAAACACTCTTAACTAGAATCAAACACAAGACTGGAAATCTCATGTTTACTGTATCATGCTATCCAAACATGTTCCCCGTTTAACATTATTCTTAATCCTACAACTGGATTTGCTATGGTTGATTGACAGTATACACCTCACAATATAACATGCTAAACCCAAACCAAGGAACCCACATTTTGCTCTAGCGTTTGTGTGTGTGTGCATTAAAAAAAATAATCACATATTTGATAGGAAAAAAATGCATCCTACATTGTTTAACATGGCAAGATGGTGCACAAAGAAATCTGCAAGATTAAAGATGCAATTCAGCTGTTGTCCACTAGGTGTGGCCCATGCACAGTCTCGGATGCAAAGACCAACCTATTGTTACAGCAACTTCATAAAACCCTTCATTATTTTCTCTACAAAGCATTATCTCACTCAAAAATTATAAGCTAACGTTTGGTTTATGAAAATGATGGCATGTACCAGGTATGGGGAACCTGTGGTCCTCTGGATATTATACAATACAAACTCACATCACTTCCAACAAACTTGCCAACGGTCAGAAATGACAGGAGTTGCAGCCTAGCATTATCTGGAGAAGCAGAGCAATTTGGCATACAAACTGATAAATAAATGTTAAGAAGCTACACTTTCCAATTCCATTGTTGCTTCCCACACACACTATTGCTGCCATTCAGCCGAGTCTTACAGTGGTACAGCATACACACAATTATAGCTCTTTACGAATCTCTTTTTCTAATATAATAAATGTTTTGACATCATTATTAATTTCATTTCTATTGTTTCAGTGCCTCCCTCATTGTGTCCTAGGAAAATACTATTTAGCAGGGAACAAATAGGACAGGATATCTGTCAATGTATACGGGGTGTACAAATAAACTTTCTGAGTTGTATTCAGTCCTGACTCCAACTCACGAAATTCAGATATGCAGTCTGTAATACCATCATCCCTTCTGAAAAGAAGGACTCAAGGATTAGGAGAACGTTTGGAATGCTTAAGATACAGTGTGATGGGCTACACCAGATGTGTGTGAGAAAGCATCAGCAAAAAGCAGATGCCCCTGTTTAAACAAGTAGAAAGGCTTCTGATAAGGAAAAGCTATAATTTTATCTGAGACTGTTCAGTCAAACTAAATAGATGGATCAATTCAACAAACAGAGAACATGATTTTCAGGAAAAAAAATGGAATCAGATCCCAGCTCAGTTAAGAATTTATAAACTTGTCCTTTCCTTCCATCCATAAAAAAGGATTAATTTAAAATTTTAATAATGAAGACAGGTGGTTATGTAAAGATACTTTACAGACAAACCTATTTATATTGGTAACAGATAATAAATAGAAACACATCCCTTTTTCTGCACAACTCAGTCATTTCATATTTTGAGACATGCAATGTAGAATTATACTTAAATCACAGAAATCCTCTGTAACTTCTTGGAACAAATCCTTCCAAAATCTGCACACCTTCCACTTGGCATACTAAAAACTTAATTTATTTTTCTTGTTTGTTACTAGGGAGTATTTTTCCATTACAGAAAAGCAAGTTAAAAATACTAAAAAAATAAATAGTTTGACATGGAATACCTTCCAAGGATTGCTTGATGTACATATTGCCAAAGTAAAGACTCTGGTGTGACTATTTAAGTATTACAGGCCTAGAGATGAAACTGTTCAGTGAAACTGCTATGTTAATCTTTCTCAGTATTACTTGGCTGAAATAGCAGCAGTGAAGTAAACACCAATCAAGGCCGAACGAAAGGTAGGAAGATAGAACACATACTGGTGAAATAAAGGTAGATCCCCCTCTTCTGGATATGGAAAGGCCCCCATGAAAGCTTTGGGTAGTTTTGGAAGAAAAACATGACTAATTGGCTCAGTATATAGTAACTTTCTTTAAAACAATATTTACTTTGCAGTAAGCTTAGTGAGTGAAAAAAGGTCTGCATTTCTTACAGAACTATAAGAACAGACTGGTAATGAAAGGATGGTCCCTGAAGATCACTGTTGACATACAGAACAGTAGAGAAGTATAGGCATCTCTGAGTATGACAGGGAAAGACTTATAATTGAATAGTGAAGAGACAATATGTGTTAGTACAAAATACTGAGCTAGATGGATTAATAATCTACTTTTCTATAAGTCAATTTCCTTTCCCCCTACAAATTATTTTTATTCTTTCCATCTTAATAGAGTATTGGAAAGAAATTATGTTAAGAGGGTCTAGAGACTGTCCATCTGTCTGTCAACAGAGAATGGGACCAAATCTGTGTAGTGAGAGAGGCCAGCAAGTTTAAAAATGGTCCAGATTAAACTGGGTGTCGAGAAAAAACATCTAGAAAATTTCCCCCAATGCATTGGGGGAGGGGGGAATTGGGCAGCTGCTCAGAAAGTTGCCAAGTGCTCCTTTCTAAGTCATCTTCCCTCCCAGTCACATAACACAGCACAGGACACAGGCAGGACACAGCTTGCCCTGTGCTTCCCAGTGCACACAAATACACACAAATTAACACAGAGATCCAGTTCCTTCACTAATACAGACACTTGCCGTAAAGGGGTTGGAAAGTTCCAGAAGCCATGCTCTTCTTTCATTCCCTACCTTGCTCTTTGTAAATATTTTAATATATTTTGCTCATCATAGATAAGGGAGAAGACTGATCATCCTGATAAAATAACAGAATAACATTTTGAAAAGCAAAACTCTTTTGAAATGCCCTGATCCAAAGGAACTTTAACCGTATGCTTACTGTATCCAGTACTATTTGTAATGACATGGCTACAGATATTTCTTCAAGGAAAAGTAAAATGCACGCTTTTAAAAAATTATAAGAAGGTTTTACCTTAGCTGGAATTTTAGCAGGATGGTTTTCTAGAATTAATCTCTTCAAATGAAGAATCCAAAGGCGCTTGTCTTGCTGTGACTTTGCCTATTGCAAAAGGACAAGGTAGTTAAAAAGTTATAGCTCTTGAAATACCAGAGAGGAAAAAAATCAGTAAAGCCATCTGAATCTGACTTCAAGTAGAAAATCTGACTTGAAGTAGAAAAGCTAGCTCTTTTCCCAAAAACGATTAGAATTTTCTTGCTTATAGAAACTGAGACACAGTGTACAAACCACAGTGTTACACATAGATCTCCGCCCATCACAGTCAATTGTAGGCACAATGCTAGCTTGAAATACATCCATTATTTTTCTAGTCCTGACAAAAATGGACTCAGCTAGGTGGCAGCATGTAATCAATCCGTGCTGATGTCAGAAAGTTGTACAGGATTGGCTCTAATTAGTAATCTGAATGTGAGATCACCAAACTATCTCAGGGTTGCAGACTGGATAGGGAAATTAAAAATACACACTGGAAGAGGGCAATGACAAACCATTTTTCCATATTGTTGCCAAGAAACTTTATTTTTACCTTACCTTTTATAATAAAACCTGAGCTTAATACATTAAAATAGCATCACTCTACTATATTTCTCTCCAAAAGAAAGGGAAAAGAGAAAAGATCTAGATAATAAGAAATAGGAACTGCTTGCAGGTATAACGATAAGAATTAATTCTATCAATCTAATTGCAGTGCTATTTCATGGGGTACATAATTATGAGAAATTCAGCCTTAATGTTACATTTATTAATATATTCACTACATAGTGATCTTTAAATACCTGAACAGTGTGCTGCATCTTGGGATTTTTATAATGGAAGACACTGAAGCTAAGAGGTTCTTTTGGTATGACTTCCACTAGCATGAGATTGCCACACTATAACAAAAAGAAAAATCATCGGTTTCCGGAGATAATGAAGGAAAATCTGACAGACCATTTTTAAAAAGTTAATTATATTTTTAAATGTTTAGAAGTGTACCAAGTTGGCTGAGTGGGGGAAAAAAAGAGGGGAAGGAAAGGTAAGAAACAAAATATTAAAAGCAAACAAAGCTGATAAGCAGAGCAGCCATAGAGGGTCTTGATAATAGCTAGTCGTTCACCGTTACCCTGAGAAAGGTTCAGAAAAAGGAGAAGCCATAAAGGAAAGGCAAAGAATTAAAAGGATGAAGTCAGAAACTCACAGGAAAAGGGGAAAGGAAACAGCAAGTGATTTTTAAAAGCTGAAGAACTGACTAAACAATAGATCCCATTCTGTATCAGACTCGACCATTATGCACATGCCATAATGATTTTTTTTTTTAAAAAGGGGTCAATTATTTATATATATTGTTGTGTTTAAATTGTTTCTACGTTTACACACAGGGAAATTTTTATTTTTTCACCTCTGCTGAAAACACACAGAATAGAGAAAAAAAGAACCCAGCTGCTCTATTAAAGAAACAATAAGGGGTACAGAAATATCCCGCTTCCTCTCCCTTGTAGGATACGCACTAATTACTCCCTTAATCTTCCCCCAAAGTACAACCTGCCATACCAAGATATGAGCTTTGTAAGTAAACGTCTCCTCTCTCTTCTTTGTAATAAGCAGCAGCTTATCAAAGAGGAACAGCGTGCGCTCATTTTTGGCTCTCTGGATGCGGAACGTTCCTTCTAACACTAGTTCTCCGTAACTTGCAAGGTCTGGCCCTTTCCAGTTAGTGAGCAAGCTTTGTATTTCCTGAAAGAGAGAGGAGTGAAAACAGTGTGTGCTAGAATATCTTAACACGGAAAACAAGCATAACACCACCACCACTCGTTTGCTTCCACGAGCATGAAAAAACGTTTGTATGACTAATAATCTCATCATGTATTACACCAGATAATTATTGATTATATAAAAGACAATCACATTTATTCCTAAATGTCGTAATATTGATAAAAGTTAAAGACACGTAACCTAGAGTCAACTGAACCCTGGATTCTAAGGTAGAGCAGGGCAAATACCAAATGCTACTAAAAATAAAAATATTATTCTTTTGATAGATACTTTTCTCAACATTTTAGAGAAATGGAAAGATGGAATAATAATGGAATAATAATAATGGAAATAATTACTGCTATAATGAAACAAATTAAAATTGCACAGCTGAATTTTGCCACCACTCTTTTGGTGGCGAAGATCATAACAAGGGCCAAGGACCATAAAAAAGAAACTATGCGATTGCTTATGCCCATAGGCATATTTACTCCTTGCATCTATTCAAGAAATTTTTGAATGAAAGAAAGTTTGGTCTAGTGGTTAAGGCACCAGGCTAGAAACCAGGAGACTGAGTTCTAGTCCCACT